TAGGAAATCAATACCCAAATCATCCATGAAATTCTGCAGGTGAGAACTAACCCAGATAAAATGAGGACTTTGTCTTCTTAGGCTAACAATAAGGAAAGAAAAAAGGACCTGTAAAAATATTCTCGCAGCTCTTGCAATAAATACAAGTAACAATACAGTATGAAAACTTAGGACTGCACCAGCAGAATTATTTTCCCTTCTGAAGTTACCATCAATTCTGAAGCAGAACAGAGGACATAACCAGCAGAGACATACCAGAAGACAGTATCATGCATGGATGACATACAGAGTGTTTCAAGCATAGCTCAGAAGTCCTGTATTGATAAGGATGTTAATGCACACATACATAATCCTGGCAACATGCTGCATAATCCTTATACTTTCAGTAACAGGTGATGCTTCTTTTATGAAAAGCAGCCATTCCCACCTCAAACCACCCCAGCTGTCAGTCCCTACCTACCCAAGGGTCCTGTTTTCATCCAGCTAACCCCTCCCCTGTATTCCCCCTTTCCCTAAGAGTGCATGAATAGAGAATTGCAAACATTTCACACTGCACGTTCCACTCCAAGTCCTGGATGAGGAGCCTGTTTATTCTATGAATATTGCACTTATCCACTCATTGGATTTGCTTTTTCTCAAGAATGCAGAGTATTTGGGAAAAAAAAATAGAAAAAATAGTAGGATACAACACAGGAAAATATGAATTATTAACAAGCTAGCTATGAAGATCTAAAATTAAATAGTACTAGTTCTATTCTGTTAATACTAGTAATATGAAAATAATGAATGCTTTATCAAATTCCCTTGTTTTTCATATAAGATAAAAGCAGTAACTTTCTTTTTAACTGAGGAAAGCAATGAATATATATTACAATAAAATATGATTCATTAAGATCTGAAAGTGATGAAAATTATATAATGCCTTCGTCAAACTTTATAGCATCATAATAGAAGGAGCCATAGGGGTGCACATTCACAAGAGCCAAATCCATTTTTCAGCTATACCCATGGAGATGTGAAGTCCCATTTTGAAGAGTGTAGCCATCAGCCAATTTCAATCCCTCATTATTATGTATTTGCTGTTATTGTATACATAATTTCAAAACTTCCTGTCAACACATCCATTAAGCATCCCAACATGTGCCCATCATCTCTATCTTGAAAAGTCTGGCTTGCAAAGGTCTGGTACACCCTCCCTTTGCAAGGTGTGAGAGCTAAAATAACGAACAGGAATTGCCTCCCACGGAGAAGGACTCCTAACAAGACCATCTGCCTCTTGCTGCCATGAGAAACTGTTTCGAGAGGGGAGACAAGGGAAACCAGCAATTAAACTTTTCAGGCATTATATAAACCTCAATAACGAACTCAGAAGTGCTCATTATTATTAAAGTTGCAGTATACAGCAAGACACAATTTTCACATTCTTCAATTTTGTTCTCTGGCATTGGGGTTTGGAATTTCTGCTGGTCCAAATTCAAGACTTTTTGGAAAGCACGGTGAGCGGGAGAGCAGCTGCCTCTCGCCCCAGAGGAGGGCTCCCTTCAGCTGCAAACGGCTTTGCCCAAGCCCTGCAGAGCTCTTCCTCTTAACAATCTGGTTCAGGAATAAACCAGAAAAAAAAGAGAAATTTAAACAGTACTATTGATTTCTGCATTGAGTGTTCACTGAGGTGTACGTTACATTTAAATATTGCTCTTGATCCAGTGTCAGTTCTGACAAATTTAGTAAATAAAACTTAAGGCAACATTAACATTTTTAGAAAAGGGCTAAAACACTTCTAGCACTACACTGTCCTCTGAGCCACCCTGCCAGGTTTTCCTGCCCTGCAGTCAGCTTTTCTGATGTAGGTAAAAGCCTTTCCCTCTGTTTCAGAGCTAACAGTGTGAAGGGCTTGCTAGTTCAGGTACCAGGAGAAGTGACCAAAACTAGCTGCTTGCAAATGGGAAAAAATTATTTTCCTGGTTTCTCTCAGTTGAAAGAATAAAAAAAAAAAAAAAGAGATCAGTGAGATGCTGTGATGGGAGGGGTGAAAAACTGCATTGGGGGGTATTTGCTTTAAAAGTGCCCTTTTAAACACAAGCAGTTAAAACAGCCACCGAGTAAAGGGAAGCCCAAACCAAAGCTTTCCCACCAGGCTGGAAGTCAGCACGCCAGGTCATGCCACACATTCATTTCTAGCATCAAGTAGGTCATCTGCACCCCATCCTTTTTCCTGGTACAGGTGAGGACACAGGGAGGCCACAAGTGTGGCTTTGCAGCTCCTCTACAGGCTCGGGCCCCTCCTCAGCAGGGCATGAAGCCTTTGAGATGGAATAAAGGAGCAACTGAGCCATGGGGCACTGAGCTGCGTCTTGAGAAAGCCCTGGCAGTACTGCAGGCACCCTCACTCTGTGCCACACTGCACTGGTTGGAGCTCTGCAAACCACCTCCCTGCAAGAGCCAGAGCTGGAGAAGTGAGCCAGCAAAGTGGACCAGGAGCTGTGGGACAGACTGACGTCTGTTCCAGAGCTGTCACAGGCAGATCCTGAGCCTCACAGCAAACTCATACCCACTGGGGATTAGCCTCATACAGGGGACATGGCAGCCAGGCAGTGGAACTGTCTGCCAAAAACAGCTTTGCCACCCCAAACCCTGTAAGAACTCCTGCAGTTCAGAGGTGCTCTGGACTCAGCTTTGCTGGATGCAAATGTGAGTATTTACAGTAGTCTGGGCTCTCCTGTCTGTGTTCTGCTCTCCAATCCCTGGATAGGGGCTCACATCATGCCACACCATACTCAGAGAATTCAGTGGCTCAATGCAGAAGATCTGGGAGCTGTGCTTTACATCCCCCCAACGAGATGACCTAGTGGGAATGTCTTTAAACAAAACTTTAGAATATTTTAAATAATAACTTAATTCTTAATAAATATGTGCTTCAAGAAAATGATAATTATATACTGCACCTTTAAATAATGCACTTAGTTCTCTGCATTGGCTTCCATTTTGGTTTCTTTTATTGTTAAAGTGCATTAATTCAAAATAATGAACCACTTCCGCATCATTATTGTTAAAATAAATCATAACATTAATACGAATCACTAAGTCACTACTATTAGTACTGCAATCTAGCAGATAACTCTATGTATTGCTCTATTTAATACTGTCCAGCAGAAGAATATAATACTTCTATTATAATCTCACAACAACTCCAGCAGTCTTTTATGGCTGCTACCATATTAGTACAATTAAAACTGGGGAGAAGTATGAGAGACAGGGCCACAATGTCTCAGATATACATCCAGTAAGATGTAACAAACTGGATATATACTTACATATTGTATGGTAAGACATTAAGGTACAAAGAGGACCCTGCACACTATGATGTGAGCTGTTGTGCAGATACACCTCCTCCGCCTGCCATCACAATTCAAAGGGATCCCTAACAAACAGCCTCTCCTCCCCACTTGCATGCAGAGAGCTGCTCAAACCACAGCACTGTTTGTAGCCAGTTGTGGCACCTGGATGTTGTTTCAGCTACCAAAATGACATCAGTTGCATTAGCTGTAGGCAACTCTCGCAATGTTACCATCGGAATTAATCAAACCCCCAAACCACACCAAAAAAAATTTAAAAAAAAAGAAAAAGAAAAAAGAAAAAAAGACAAGAACAACACAAACTGCATAAACTTATTTTTTTTTTGGCAGAGAAACATCCCCAGTAACACATGATATGGTTGTGCTATTTTATTCAGCCCCTTGATCCCAGCTATTTTGAAGCCTTTATAACCTTAAACTTCCAAGTCAAATTAGTATGGAGCTCTGGTGGAAAAAAGGGCATGTAATATTTTGTGCAAACCAATAGTGAACTGGTGTGCCCCTCCCCCCTGAACAGATTTACAATGCTGCCTATTATTTAAAGGAACAAGATACTGATCTTGAGTGATTAACAAGGCCATTAAAAAAAAAAGCATGACTTCCTTAAATACAGTAGGGATTTAGTCAATTTTGTTTACAGTACAAGGCTACCTCATAAATAACTCCATATTCCTAGCCTTTTCCAATGGGTAACTCTTCCATTTTCCACCACACTACCCTCACCACGTGCCACGTTTCAAAGCATGAGACAAGAAAGGCAAACAGAACTGGAACTAGAAGAGGCAGCTTCCTGATTAGGTGCATTGTAGACCTAATTGCTTTGATTTAAATCTCTGTGCCCAAGAAGCCCAGGCACACTTTCCAGTACAAATGTACTTTTTGGATTCAAGTGGGAACAGAAACACATATTTGGCTCCTACTTCAATTTTTAGTCTCTTCTGGTAAAACCAGACACACAGACACACACACACACACACAAACAAAAAGAATAAAGTAAACTCAGAATGCACAGAAAAGACAAAAACAAAACACAAAAACAATTCCCCAAAAATATACAAATTAAGGATGTGCAGACTGAGTTTGATGGCTTTTTTTTTTTTCCTACTCATTGTAAACACTGATGTTGCAGAAGGTTACAGATATTTCTCACTAATACCTTGGTGGGCCCTGCCAGCAGTCAGCACCCTTGGATTTGGACCAGAGGGCAAAACAAGAACTAACACATTTGACAGCTTTGTCTTCAGTGTCTTAAGGGACTTTTGTACACTTTGATATTACTACAAGTTTTGAGAAACCCAGCTCTGGGAAGAGAATCAGCCAGGATCACCTGGTGGGAATCAAGCACAGAAATAAACATGGAGCCTACGAAGTAATCGACGTGCTTAAGCATGGGGTTTGTAAGTTTGTTTTAACAAGCACCAGTAGGCATTGCTGCCTTAGAACACCTGAAATCCCAACTCAAAGAACAAGACAGAATGCAGGAAACAAAAAGCCCCCAACCCACACCACCTGATTGCCTTTTCTGGTGACTTAGCAATAACAACACTGAAGTCAGAACCCAAATCTCTCCACAATGTAAAGGCTCCAACTCTGGACTAACCAACTGTTGAGTATAGTAAAAAAAAAAAAAAAGCAAACATCTCCAAAGGATTAGAGTCCTTCTGTGTTTCAGAAACTTCCATTTGCTTCTCACTGCAAGTTGTGGAAAACCATTCAAAGTTCTTGGGTATTCCACGTATGGACAAGAATGAGGAGAAAGGGAGCCAGGATTGTAAAACAGAGTTTGGCACGTAACTCCTCAAGTAGATGCATGTGTATTTCTCTCTCACAAAAGGCACACGTTTGGTTTCCTATCAATAATGGGAAGGATGGGATGTTATACCCTGTTACACATACAAGATTATTAACAACTTCACAAAAAGGCATTTGACTATGCTGCACCTTCCTCATAGTTGCTTACTATATGTAGACCCCACAAACCTCTCCAAAACTTGGCAGATTTGTCCTCAGTATAGAGTCCTTTGTACAAACTGGAGCACAGAGAAATGTCTTTTTGTGTAGCAATTATTTTTTCCACATGTACACAGCAGGAACAGTATAAATTAGGGAGGTTAAAGGTATTGCAGTATTAGTTCTTTTTCTCCAAATAATTTGAGGGCACCCAACCTTTGAATGGCTTCACACCATTCATGATCTGGCAGTACCACCAGCCATTTGGGTTCCTTTCGAGGACTTCCATGCAGACACCTTCCTGAAACCCAGCAGTCTCCTCATCCCCTTCATAGTCTGCAATGGAAACATAGATGTCCTTGAGATTGTTGTGGATGAACTGGGATTTCTCAATAGGCTTAGGCCTGACTGTGGACACAGGGATGCCATTCCTCTGTGCAGGGAGGTTGGAGGTGGTCTCAGAGCTCTCTGTACCTGACCGCTCAGGCTGCTTTCCCTTTGCATCACCAGGCTGGGACCACGCATTGCTGAAGGAGGAATTCCGACGGACGGTCCTAAGTTGATCTGTAGTTGTTAAAGACTCGTTCCTGCGCAAGGAGCACGACAGGTTGTTGTCCTTCGGTGGTGGAGACACAAACACTGACTGCGGACGGACAGCAATTTGTCTCACACCATTCCTCATTTTAACTGGCCCTGATGCTTTTGAAAAACCACCAGGAGGTTTGCTTGGGATGGGTGGTGTTGCACGTTTGCTCTGGTTGATGGTGTTCAGAGCCTGAACCCTCTTCTCTATCTTCTCTAAACTGTTTGACTTGTTTTCGTTTTTCCTGTTCCTGGCAAATGAGGAATCAGTCTCAGCTGATGTGGCTTCTCGCTGGTTATCAGGAAGAGCCAAATAATGGGAAGGAGCCCAGCCTTCCATGTCTCCATACTTCAGGTACCACCATCCACTGGCTTGCTTTTCCAGCACTTCCACTTCTACTCCTGCTGGGAAGCAAATTTCAGAATCCTGTACCTTTTGGTATGAGTCAGTGGTCACATAGAAACATCTGGAGTCATTTTCTTGCTCAGTTTTGGCTGTATGGCTGGGGAGGAAAATGCCACGGGAAGGAGCTGTGATGAGATCAGCTGAGCTTCTCCTAACAGGGTCATCTTGGTTCTCAGAAGCTGTGCGTGGAGGGCTCGCAGACTCTTCACTTCTTGAACCTTTAAGTCCACCTCTGAGCTGCCCAGTTGGCCTCAGCTGACGCCTTAAAGTGCTAATATCCATCTTTTCTTGGCTCTGAGAGTCTGCCTTGTTCAGGAAGGGTTTGGGCCTAACAATTGGCTTTGCTCTAATGGAAGGACTCTGACCAGGCTCTTTCCTCATGCCTGTTCTTGGCACGCTACGTAAGCCAACATCTGAAGCTGACCTTGGTTTTGTCTCCTCATTCCTGGAATAGTGACATTTTCCAAGATCAGGCTGGATGTTTTTGTCTGTCTTGAGCTTCACAAGTGATGATTTAGGAGAGCTGGAACATGGAGAATTCCTTCGGATCAAGGACAGAGAGGAACTTTTCTGAGAATCAGAGTCTCCACTAGATTCCTTATTGGACAAAGCATCTTCCACATAACGCCTGAATCCTTCGTTCTCATAGATGGTCTCTTCTTCATGAGCAACTTCTTCTGAAGACTCCCCTACTTTGAACTTTGCTTTCTGAAGTGATGACATGGGCGAGGGTTTGAGGGGCTGAAACAGTCGTTTTTCAGGAGTGCCCTCTTCATGATGACTTTCACTCCCTTCACACTCTGACTCAAAGCCAAATGCAGGCACATCATACTCAGGTTCTTCATATTTCAGCTTGTGGGGAGAGTCCTGGGTATCACCCGAAGAAACCATTCCAGGAGTTGTTCCTTCTTCAGAGTCTTTTGGTTTACTGGGAGGTGCTGGGGGAGGAACCTTTGGGCGGGTCAAAGTACTGGTTCTTCTATTTAAATTTGGCTTCTTCCTCTTGTCAATGTAAGATGCTGGAGCCCATCCTTCCTTCTCTCCAATCTGCACATACCACCAGCCACCAGAATTCTTTTCTATAACCTAAGAGGTGACAAGGAACATGTTACTTAGACAAAAATCTCAACCAATTGCTTTCCACTCCTCCCTTTTTCAATCCAGTCCCCTGCAATAGCCAAATATATATATAATTATATA